AGAATTGATCATTATAACCAGTTTGTTATGCATCTTCCCGGAAAGATTCTGTGTATAGACAAATATTTTTTAAAATATTTATTTATTTATTTGGCTGCTCGGGTCTTAACTGTGGCATGTGGGATCTAGTTCCCTGAACAGAGATTGAACCCGGGCCCTCTGCATTGGGAATACAGAGTCTTAGCCACTGGACCACCAGGCAATCCTGGACAAATATTTTTACATAAATGGTGCATATTCTATACCTTGGGTCTTCAAAGTAGGGTGTACTTTGCTTTATATTTGTTATTCCCATCTTTCTAAATTTCATTTTTTTTTTATATTCTTTTTTTGGCTTTTCTTGGCTTTGCCAAGAGGCACAAAAGCTAACAATTAAACAATCTCTTCTCTCAGTGCTAAAATTGGATTGTTTCTCCCCGGTGGGAATATCAGTTCAGTCACTCAGTCGTGTCTGAACCGCAGCACGCCAGGCCTCCCTGTCCATCACCAACTCCCGGAGTCCACCCAAACCCATGTCCGTTGTGTCAGTGATGCCATAACCATCTCATCCTCTGTCGTCCCCCTCTCCTCCTGCCCTCAATCTTTCCCAGCATCAGGGTCTTTTCAAATGAGTCAGCTGTCCGCATCAGGTGGCCAAAGTATTAGAGTTTTAGCTTCAACATCAGTCCCTCCAATGAACACCCAGGACCCATATCCTTTAGGATGGACTCGTTGGATCTCCTTGCAGTCCAAGGGACTCTAAAGAGTCTTCTCCAACACCACAGTTCAAGAGCATCAATTCTTCGGCACTTAGCTTTCTTTATAGTCCAACTCTCACATCCATACATGATTACTGGAAAAACCATAGCCTTGACTAGACGGACCTTTGTTGACAAAGTAATGTCTCTGCTTTTTAATGTGCTGTCTAGGTTGGTCATAACTTTCCTTCCAAGGAGTAAGTGTCTTTTAATTTCATGGCTGCAATCACCATCCGCAGTGATTTTGGAGCCCAGAAAAATAGTCTGTCACTGTTTCCACTGTTTTCCCATCTATTTGCCATGAAGTGAGGGGACCAGATGCCCTGATCTTAGTTTTCTGAATGTTGAGCTTTAAGCCAACTTTTTCACTCTCCTTTTTCACTTTTCTCAAGAGGCTCTTTAGTTCTTCTTCACTTTCTACCATAAGGGTGGTGTCATCTGCATATCTGGGGTTATTGATATTTCTCCCGGCAATCTTGATTCCACCTTGTGCTTCCTCCAGCCCAGCGTTTCTCATGATGGACCCTGCATATAAGTTAAATAAGCAGGGTGACAATATACAGCCTTGATGTACTCCTTTCCCTATTTGGAACTAGTCTTTTGTTCCATGGCCAGTTCTAACTTGCTTCCTGACCTGTATACAGGTTTCTCAAGAGGCAGGTCCGGTGGTCTGGTATTTCCATCTCTTTCAGAATTTTCCACAGTTTATTGTGATCCACACAGTCAAAGGCTTTGGCATAGTCAATAAAGGAGAAATAGATGTTTTTCTGGAGCTCTCTTGCTTTTTTGATGATCCAGCAGATGTTGGCAATTTGATCTCTGGTTCCTCTGCCTTTTCTAAAACCAGCGTGAACATCTGGAAGTTCATGGTTCACATATTGCTGAAGCCTGGCTTGGAGAATTTTGAGCATTACTTTACTAACGTATGAGATGAGTGCAATGGTGTGGTAGTTTGAACATTTTTTGGCATTACCTTTCTTTGGGATTGCAATGACAGCCATAATTCCTGTATTGTACAATGTTAATCATGTATTAGTTTGGCTCTTCGCTGCCGTGACCAGCCTGTACCTCCCTCACCCATCCGCCTCTTACTGTCTCAGCACTCAGGATCTTACTTCCAAGCAGGGATGGAACCTGTGCTTCCTGCATATATGGAAGTACAGAGTCTTAATCAATGGATCACCAGGGAAGGCCCCTCTTCATTCTTTTATATATGTATTTGACTGCATTAGGTCTTAGTTGCTGCATGTGGGATCTTTTACTATGATTCATGGGTTTAGCTGCACTGCAGCATGTGAGATCTTAGTTCCCCAGCTAGGAAATCAAACCTGCATCTGCTGCATTGGGAGGTAGATTCTTAACCACTGGACCACCAGAGAAGTCCCCCCTCCTTCATTCTTTTAAGTTCTTTTTAATTGCTCCATAGTGGTTTTTCAGTTATATCTTGTTTTATGATTTATTAGAAATTCAAGTCATTTGCAGTCTTTCACTAGTTCATACAGTGTTGCATTAATATGTTTGTGCTTTGGTCTTTTCTCCTCTGGAGTACAAGCCCCTCTGTGGGATAGATGCCTGAAAGCAGAATTGATGGGTCCAAGGGTTCTATTTCTCAGCTAGACAGTGCCACTTTACCTGCCAAGAAGTTTCTTGCTAAACCAAGTAACAACTTTCCATCTTCAGTACCTCGAGATGCTTTGAGTGGCTTTTGAAGGTTTGAATCAAAAGTGAACCTTTGGAGGGAGTAGCATGGAAACATGTACATTACCATATGTTAAATACCTTGCCAGTGGGAATTTGCTGTGTGATGCACGGAGCTCAAATCCAATGCTCTGTGACAAACTAGAGGAGTGGGATGGGGTAGGAGGGAGGCTCAAGAGGGCGGGGATGTATGTATACCTATCCAGGTGGTGCTAGTGGTAAAGAACCCGCCTGCCCATGCAGGAGACTAGGGTTTGATCCCTGGGTCAGGAAGATCCCCTGGAGGAGGAAATGGCAATGCACTCCAGTATTTTTGCCTGGAAAATGCAATGCACAGAGGAGCCTGGCGGGCTCCAGTCCATGGGGTCGCAGAGTCAGACTCGACTGAGCACATGCACACATGGCTGATTCATGTTGATGTATGGCAGAAACACATTATTGTAAAGTAATTATCCTCCAATTAAAAATATATTACAAAAAAGAAGAAGGTGAACCCTTGGCTGCTAAGAACAGAGCCAAGCATGAGTAGACCGGAGAAGAATATTTTGATATTAGAGAAAGATATTTCAATATTGCTGCCAGATATTTCAGCATTGAAACAGACTATTTTGGGGCTTTGTGTTTCTACCTTCAAAGCCAAATCAAATGACTTTGCATTACCCCCAAAGCCGCAGTTAGGTGGCTCCACTTCTCTGTCTCTTGCTGTGCAAGCGCTTTTCTCTTCAATGATTGAACAGAACCCCACGGACATATCGTACGTGTACAGCGGTTACGCCCCACTCAGTGTGCGACTGGCCCAGCTGCTTTCCCGGCCTGGCTGGCGGAGTATTGAGGAAGTTCTGCGCATCCTCCCAGGGCCCCACTTTGAGGAACGGCAGCCGTTGCCCACAGGACTGCAAAAGAAGCGTAAGTCCAGGGCCCATATCTACAGATACTCATGCACTGTTTCTGTGGTTTTCACGTATTAGAGCAATTGCTTTGTAAAAATACATTCGTAAAGGACTTAGGAGTCAGAGTCCAATATGCCGCTTTTGTTAGTTGTGAATTACGTTGTAAGCACTGGAACTCATTACTCCCTCAGGATTAGCAGATTTCAGCCTCTGAGTTGAGGATCTCCGAAGTTAGAGAAAACATTGAGATCAAAATCATGGTTCCTGAGTTTCTTGTGAACCATCTGTACCAAGACATATATGACTTTTCTTAGGAATGATGCAGTCTTTTTAAGAGGTGGGAAGAGAAGCATCAATAATAAATAGTTCTTCTCTGGCAGTCCAGGGGTTAAGACTCTGCTTTCCAATGCTGGGGGTGAGGGTTTGATCCCTGGTCAGGAAACTATGATCTCACATGCTGCACAGCCAAAAATAAATACATAATTTTTTAAAATAATGATACTGATTCTTCATTCTGAAATGTTCAAATTTTAGGTCAGCCAGGAGAAAACCGAGTCACTCTGATCTTTTTCCTCGGGGGTGTAACCTTTGCTGAAATTGCCGCCCTGCGATTTCTCTCCCAGCTGGAAGATGGAGGTACAGAATATGTCATCGCCACCACTAAACTAATCAACGGGGCCAGCTGGATAGAGTCACTAATGGAAAAACCTTTCTAGGGCGTTCCAAGTAGACTTACCAGTGAACTACAGAATAAATTGCTCCTTTGAAGAAGTTACTGGAACAGCAGTGCTGTTCCGTGGAGAAACAGGAATAACAGGAATAACAACAGGAATGCAGAATTTACTTTGGGGTCAGCTTCTTAAATTACGCTGTTTTCTCCTTTCAGTTTCTCTTTTTGTGTTCTTAAATTTCTCAAAGAAGAATGGAAGAGACTCAGCCTGTGTAAAAGAAATCCCAGTTTTTAATGTTCTGAGCCCAGGATCTCCATTAGAGACCTCTGGAAATATATGAAGGGTAGTGGGGATGGGTAATCTGTTCAGCCACATAAATGGGGCCAGTTCTTGAGAACGCAGGGACCAACCAGGTAAAAATGAAAATAAATGTGGAAGTCCAACCCCTGATAAATAGTGCTGAGTTTCTTGGAGGTGCAGCATGCCTAGCGCAGTGGCCAAGTGTTAGGGGCCTGAGGCTGGTTATCTCAAATCCCTGAGTTTGAGATTGTTTCTTCCTGTAGAACATGGCACCTTACATCCAGCGTCACCAGTCTCTGTGTTACCTGGTCGTCAGGGCAAGTTTTGATTCCTCTGCTTCTAAAAAAGCAAAGGTTTAGAAGAGCTTCTTGCCCCAGGACAGAGTTTATGCTCTCTGTGATCAGCTGAATTGTTGTGGGTCCCCGACTTATCAAGGGCTTTTTACACTGAGGAAGACTCAGCATTCTGAGAATGTATTTGAAGATGCGTTCTTAGTGCACATGTTATTAACTCTTAAGAAATTTCAGTGATAGATGCCTTCAGTTTTCTTCCCTGCTCATCGTGAGCCCCACCATCCAGCTGGTGTCCCCTCCCCCCCCCCCCACCTTGAGCAGTGACAGCTTTGTTTTCTTCAGCATCTGGCAGCTCCCCCTCCCATGTAAGTGCCACACCTGCTGCCCCAGCAGTCTACAGCCACTCCTTACATGGTCTCGAGTGTTTGTTTTGCTAGGAAACACCCAGCTCCCTGGTCTGGTGATGTCATCCCCCTCCGGTACAGCTTGTTGGTGATCCAGGCATCCAGCTGCTACCATTCCCCGGGGAGACTGCTAGGCTGTGGAAGGGAGGTGAGAAGGTGCTGGCAGCGAAGTTGGAAATCTCCCTCCTGCTCCGTCCCAGCATCTGAAAGAGTTAAGGCCAAGAAGGGGACTAAATTAATGGTTTTACAGCCCTTGCCCAAGTCTCCAGCAAAATTAGTTGACCCCCCCCTCTTTGCTGGGGTCCAAAGTCAGTGTCCCTCCCCAGGTATCATTTCTTTTCTCTTTTAAAAGAAAATATTTATTTGGCTCCACTGGGTCTCAGTTGCAGCACTTGGGATCTTCTTTGCTGCAGCATGTGGGATCTAGTTCCCTGACTAGGGATCAAACCCAGGCCCCCTGAATTGAGAGTGCAGAGTCTTAGCCAGCGGATCACCAGGGAAGTCCCCCGAGGTGTCATTTCTGTTGTTAATTAGTACCTGTACATGTTTTTGTCTCTTTTTTCTCTAGTGAAATTCTGTTAGCACGCGCCATGTTATGAGTGAAGGAAAAATTCTGCGTTAAAAAAAAGAATCTCTTTAATGTGAAAATGAGGGGTAGAAGAGGGAATATTTAAAAGATTAGCTTCTTGTGAATTTAACTTGCCTTTAACATTCAGTATTTGGAAAGGTCTTAAAGAAAGCAATTCCTGTTTTAGGAATCCTTTCTCAACTCCTTGTTAGCCCAGGAAGATTAGTTTATACCTTCCAGCCCCAGTGGCTCTCAGTCTCAGCTGCTGTAGAGAATAAAATGCACCTTGTCCATCAGTGTTTTTGGCTCCTGGGATTCAATTCAAGTCCAGTCAAGTCCCCTTGGCTGGGGTTTTGTTCTGTGAACAGATGCTCAGTTGTGTCTCATGTGTCTGCATTCACTCATGACTCTCCACTCTCTTGCTCTGAGCATAGTTAGGTCAGCTGCTAGAAATGCATTCAGCGTAAGACTTCAAAACCTCAATTGCTTCATTTGTATGCAAATAGAAAGTGGGGGATAATTATATATTATATGCCTTTGTGTAAGTTCACTTAATACTTGAAGCAGTCTTTGTCCCAAAGAAGTGTGCCCTTACTGAGAAAAAGGGTACGTGAATGGTACATTTATTCTTGGAAAGGGTGGATTGTTTACATCACGTCTGGACTTTTTGTCTAGTTGGGTAGACGGTTCTGCAACACCAGCAGTCCTACAAAAAGAAGTCTCCGTAGATAAAGAAGCCTACATAGGCGCTATTTTGTGTCCTTCTGTACACTTTTGAATTGTAGCCAAAAGAGAAATAAGTATTTGAACTGTAGTTTAACTGTGGAGCAAGAGACTAATGGTTACACGAGGTTTAAAACAGTGCACTTTAAACTTTTTCTTGTATATTGGAGTGTAGCTGATTAACAATGTTGTGATAGTTTCAGGTGGACAGCAAAGGGACTCAGCCATACATGTATCCATTCTCCCTGAATCCAGGTAACAGCACATTTAATTCTTGAAGAGAACTGGGAAGGGAGATTTCCATGTGTTCAACCACTGTAGCTGTGTCCTCACAACAGGTGGATTATAATTAATCTGACATGCAGTCTGTCTCTTGTCCTCAGTTGTACTGTTTATATCAGCAGAGCTGAACTCAAAAAAAAAAAAAAAAAAAAAACTTCTTAAAAAAAAAAAAATACCAGAACAAACTGAGTGCCTAAAGCAGCCAGTAAGAGGGGCTGTGATAAAGATGGTAAGGCAGAGAAATACAGACACCGCACAGACTATGAATGATAAACAGAATGAATTATACTTGAGAACCTTGTATATATTTCAGTCCTGTGGTTTAACAATGACATACTGTAGAAAATAGAGGATGCTTTTTGTCATCCAACACTCAAAGACAGTACTGTAAAATTTCTCAGACTCTCTTACTTCTAAGTGGATGCATGTGAACTTCAAGCTATATAATGTGTCTCAGCTTCAGTTACTCCATTGCGATATTATTTAGTTGCTAGGTCAGGTCTGACTCTTTGTGACCCCATGGACTGTAGCCCACTAAGCTCCTCTGTCCATGGGATTTTCCCAGGCAAGAATACTGAAGTGGGTGGCCATTTCCTTCTCCAGGGGTTCTTCCGGTCCCAGAGATCAAACCCGTGTCTTCTGCAGTGGCAAGCAGATTCTATACCACTGAGCCACCTGGGAAGGCCACTCCGTGGTATAAAATACCCCTGATTGGGTGGTGACTAGAGTCTACAAAGGCTGGAACACGGAACTGCCTTCAGATGTCCATGTGAAGCATGTGAGAGTTAAAGGGTAACAGAACCAGGGCTGTTTTAGTAGCCTTTTGCATGTTACTTTGGTGTGGGATTAGAATATAAATCTCAGCCATACTTGCCTGTGACTAGGCAGGACACAGCCCTCCAGATGACCAGGTCTCTGTGGGGAGTAATTACTCACTGGCTTCCTGCACGCAGCTTGATAATGTTCCACTCCTGTTTTCAACCCGGCTGCAGTGGGGCAATGATTTGATAATAAGAGATCCTGATCAAATTAGAGAGCCATTTGGCTTCTGGATGATGATGTTGATAAAAGGGTTGATGTCCACACTGCCTTTTTTTAAAGGTCAAAACATAGTCTTAACTACAAGCTACTACAAAAAGCAGAGGAACAGGGAGCAGCATAAAGTTTGTGCTTTCTTTTCCCTTCATTGCTACATCTGGGAAAGGGTCTGTTTTTTATTGGCTGGAATCCTGACTGGTTCTTTTTACCTTACATTTGGCAGAGTTGAAATTGGAAGTAGGTACATTGCGAAGGTGTCTATATGATGAGTCTCTAAACGGCAACAGTGAATTAGAATTGAGCACTTGAGAGCTCTTGGTTTTCTGAGCTAGTTCTCACACAAATGCTTGGAATTGCATGTTTTAAGACAAAAATTAAAAAGCTAAAGTTTTTGCTTTAGTTGGGCAGTCATAAGTGAATGCTGTATGTACAGTGGTTCTTCTTGTCTGAGACTCAAGGATGGAACTGCTCTTTGTGGAAGTTTGCTAGAAAAGAATCTGGACTGTATCCCACCCACTGTTTAGAAAAGCCAGGCAGGAGGGCCATGAAGTCCCCAGTGTGTGCCACTCGCTCAGCACCTCTAAGGCAGGAGCTTTTGCAGGCAACCTCGGAGCTGTGTGGGCTGTGATGGTGACACAGGCAGAGGGTGGGCAAGCCTGCCAGCGCCCCGCCTGGTCTGGACTTGCCTGTGCGCAGCTCCGTGAGAGCTCGGGGACCACGTGGAGATTGTGATTGGTCTCTAGACCACACCTAGTTGGTGAGCGCAGCTGCTGCCTGAAAGTCCCTCAGCTCTGCCGACATCGCTGGAGCGCACACAAGCCTACCTTCGGACAGCAAACCGGAGAGGGACCGTGGAGCTGCCACAGTGGAGGAGTCGTGGAAACTTTGCTGAGTGAGTGAAATGGGGAGACAGGGAAGTCGGTGGCTGGCACTAAGGGCTGTTGCTGGGTAGGGCAGCAGTGGAGGTAAAGAATTGGTTTGTAATTGTTAACCATCTGATTCCATCCGTGATGGAAGATAGAGGGCTGGAGCGGATGCCAAGAGCGTGATGGGCAAAGAGATAAGCCCAGAGTCAAACTGATACCCACCTCTTGGCACTTCTGCGATCCTGGCTGGCCAGAAGGGCAAGCATGCCTAGCCACAAAGCAGCGGTCCTCAAACTCTTGTAAACTGATAAGCCTTGGGGCCACAGAAATTGCAGAAGGGCTGCAGTGAGTGCCCGCTGCTTTTCCCCTACTCAGAAGGATCTCTTTTTCTCTCCCGAGCAGCGCTGGCAGCTGGGGCTGCAGCTTGAATGAAGGCAAAAAGCAAGCTTTACTCCATCAGCCCATTAGCAACACTCAAAACATTAAAAATGCAGGAGGTGGACGGGAGGAGAGGGTTGGAGATGAAGGCCAGTGCAGCAGCGGGAACTGGGAACTCTCCTCTCCAGGCTTCCCTCCTCTGAGCTCAAATCCAGATCAGGAGCCAAACAATGAGGAGAACGTTCGGTTTAAAAGAACTACATAATGTAAATACAGACAGTGTCCACGTGGTTGTTAACGGGGAAAATCAGCACTTTGGGCTTCCTTAGCCTTAGGAAGGTGTGTTTACTTTTTAGAGGTCCTAGTCTAGCCCCGTGTCCACACTGCCTCTAACGGTGCCGGACTCGGTAGCGCTTGCTTAGTGTCCAGCAGAGGTTGGTCTAGAGAGAGAACCGTCCTCTTGGCGTGCTCAGGGTCTCCTGCGTGCCCCCACTCCGCAGGTCCTCGGGCCTCCCGTGTAGGGCGATGCCGACCTCGTCCACCATCCACGTGCTGCAGCTACTGCGAGAGCTGCTGGCTTTCGTGCTCCTCAGCTACACGGTGCTCATCGGGGCGCTGCTGCTGGCCGGTTGGACCACCTACTTCCTGGTGCTGAAGTGACAGCGCCGCCGGCCCGGCTCCCTGCCCCTCCCACCTCCCGCCCCGCCCGCGGCCCCAACCACCTGCCCTCCCGGGCGCTGCTCCGCCTCCGACCTCTGTCCTGACGGGCCCGCACGGCCACGAGAGAATTCTCCCGACAACCTGTCCAAACACCCCTCACGACGGCCGACTTCGCTCGGCTTCCTCTAGCCCAGGGTCCGCCCCGCCCCACGCGGAAGCTCCGGCGGTTAGGTGTCTGGCTACGCGGTTTCTGCCGTTACTTCCAGCCCCGCCCCTTTCCTCGTCTGTCCAATGCCGACTGCGCTCTCGGGCGGGGGCGTGGTCATGGGACTAAGCCCTCTCAAGAGGCGGCCGCTCCCCGCCCCCTGCTCGCGGAGTGCCATCACTTCCGGCGTGTGCTTCTGGAGTCCTGCCGCCGCGGAATGGCGGCTCTACGGAGTTGGCTTTCTCGGAGCGTATCCTCGCTTTTCAGGTACCGCTGCGGTTGTGTAGGAGGTCAGGGTCGTACGGAGAGTGGGAACGCTGAGAGCGCCGTAACCAGACTGCACCCCCAGCGTTGCGGGCTCGCGCTTCGCTGCTCGGCCGAGCGGGTCACGGCGTCCCACCCCTCTCGGAGTTTTGAGGACGCCCCGCCCCTACTCCGGCTCTGAGGCCTCCAGCCTCCCGGGACAAGCCCGGACTTCACGTCCCACCGACGGCTTTTTCGTTGTTCACCTGCCGAGAGAGCATTCCCCCACTTCGGTCTGTCTTTTGAGGGCGTCTCGGTCTGCCCGCAAAGTGACTTCGGTTGGCCTCTCGAAGTCACAAGGGATAATTAAGGGGAGAGGCCTTGGCTGGCGATGGCTTGCCGGAGGGAGTTTTCCCTGAGGGCGGAGGAGTCCCGGAAGTGGTCGGCTTCCAAGCCGGCCTTGTTTTCCTAGCAGCGCTTGTGGGCTCAACGTCGTATCGCAGGAACCAGCAGATCCCTTGCAGTCTAGGCCAGAGGACCAACGCTAAGTCCTGCCTGCAGCAGCGTTTTATTTGGGCCTTAGTTTTTTAAAAAGCTTTGAGACCACTATTTACACGTCTGCACAAGGTACCTCTTAAACTCCACCACCATCCGCCCGCATTCCCTCGCGGGGGGAGCCAAGTAGTGATTGCCTGTTTGTGCGAGTCCAGGCCTTTTTGTCCGCCCCGTTGCCTCCTGAGTCCCGTCCTGTGAAAAGTCACCCTGTGTCATCATTTGGGTTCCAGCCTGGCCCCACTTTGAGTCTCCAACCCCTCCACGTAAATTGAAGAGGTTCTTAGAGATGGGTGGTTGTGCCTTATTAAACTTACTAAACTCTGTTTCTAGGTACAGACAGTGTGTTCCTGTCGTGGCTAACTTGAAGAAGCGCTGTTTCTCGGAATTGATAAGACCATGGCACAAAACGGTGGCTGTGGGATTTGGGGTCACTCTGTGTGCAGTCCCTATTGCCCAGGTGAAGTACCATCTGTCACTCAGTGTTTCGGGTTTTTGTGTACTGTGTCCTCTGAAGTCTCAAACAGGCAATGAAGCATCCGACAGGCTCTACTGGCTTTCACCCAGCGCTCTCCCCAGCCCCAGGTGATGGTATGCTGTATCAGCGTCGTTTCATGGCTGAGCAGATATATTAATATCCTCATTTTGATGGTCTCATTTGGTAGAAACTGGTATGTCAAGTTGGTCAAACTGTATAAAGAGGGAAGAAAGAAAAGAATGTATTACAGAACAATAATCTTTTCATTCAGAAAAACTTTATGGGGCAACTTTTATGTGTCACACACAAGAAGATTTCTGCTTTTGTAAATCTCACATTCTGGAGAGGAGGAGGAGGAAAAAGTGGAATGAGAGAAAAACATGAGCTCACAGATAGCGGCGGGTCAAAATGTACTTCTACGTTTTACTTTGTTGGCTGTTGTAAGCATTAGGATTTATTATGATAAAGAAGCCACGGGATTTTAACATAAGATTATTGTGGTCTGACATTTGTTTTTATTTTATCTTTAATTGGAGGATAGTTGCTTTACACTGTTGTGTTGGTTTCTCCCATACAATGTGAATCAGCTATAAGTATACATATATACCTTCCTTCTTGAGCCTCCCTCCCACCCCTGACATAAGGTTTTTTTTTTTCTTGACAGAATTTTTTTTTTTTTTTTAGTTGGAGGCTAATTACTTTACAGCATTGCAGTGGTTTTTGTCATACATTGAAATGAATTAGCCATGGATTTACATGTATTCCCCATCCCGGTCCCCACTCCCACCTCCCTCTCCACCCGATCCCTCTGGGTCTTCCCAGTGCACCAGGCCCGAGCACTTGTCTCATGCATCCAACCTGGGCTGGTGATCTGTTTCACCCTAGATAATATACATGTTTCGATGCTGTTCTCTTGAAACATCCCACCCTCACCTTCTCCCACACTGACATAAGTTTTTAAAGGTTGTTGTGTGGAACTAAAAAGACCAGTTGGGGTCCAGGCATGAGATGATCCTGGGCCTGAATCAGGTGGGGAGAAGTGGGCTGATGGTCAGCAGGTGTTGCTGTTGGGTTAGATGTGAAGTATATAACTTAATTTCCAGTGGTTTTAAAAGGCCTCAGCAACTGAAAGAATGGTGTTGCCAGATACTGGGATGGAGAGGAGTGGGTTTTGGGAGGAGAAAATTTAAGAGTTCAGTTTTGGAAATGACGTCTAAGTGGAGCTGTCAAGTAGACAGCTGATAGGGAAGTGATATCTTATTTTAAAACCATTGGTTATATACTTTATCAGGAAGAACTGAATAGGAAACCAGCAAACATTTTGGCAAAATGTACTTGATACTTAAATGTGTGTTTAATCATGACAGCAAGATTAATTCCCTTTTTCACAATTATTTTCAGCATCTTCTGAGGCTCACTTCATGAGCCCTTTCCTTTCGGTGCCTTACTTCAGCCCTCATCTCTGCAGACTGATCATCTTTAACCTAAAAAGGCTTACTTGGGACGCCAGGTCATTTTCAGTCACAGTTAGGACAGCCTTTTCTTTCTTCCTCCAAAAGATTTTTTTGTTTGTCCTTTCTAGTTTGCATCTTGTTCTTAAGCCCTAGTTACCTCACTCAGATCTAGGTCAGATGTCAGGAGCCTTTGGTAGACAGGAGCCTCAACTCTCTCTCCTGCAGGAATAGCGTTGCCACTTCCATTCTTCAGAGCCTACAGTGGCTCTCCATTCTGTGTCAAAAAACTAAAATCCAGAGAACTTCCTCATAGTTCAGCAACCAGGCTGGATTCCCAAATATGCCCTGCTTGCATCATATGTATTTTCCTCCTTGTTTTATCTAACCCAGGATACCTGTCCATTCTAATCCTGCTTGTCTTCAGACACAGACCCCACCCCCTGTGTTTTTTTAACGTATTTATTCATTCTGGCTGTGCTGGGTCTTCACTGCTGCACTCGGGGTCTCTCTGGTTTCGGCGAGCAGGGGCTACTCTGTAGCTGGATATAGGCTTCTCATGTTGCGGAGCGCGGGCTCAGGAGTTGTGACACTGGGGCTTAGTTGCCTCACGGGCATGTGGAATCTTCCCCAACCAGAGTAATAATACCTGGACTGTGGTGAGGGACAAGTAAATAAGCATTGTAGAATGGGAGGCATTTGATGAAACCAAAAATAGATAGGCTTTCCTGATGGCTCAGCAGGTAAAGGATCGCCTGCAGTGCCGGAGACACAGGAGAACTGGGGCCTGATCCCTGGGTTGGGAACGTCCCCTGGAGGAGGAAATGGCAACACACTCCAGTATCCTTGCCTAGGAAATCCCATGGACAGAAGAGTCCGGTGGGCTACAGTCCATGGGGTTGCAAAGAGTCAGACACAACTGAGCGTGGTATAAAAATAAATTTGTATTTTAAAAAAGGAGGGTATTATGTAGACTTAACTTATCAGAATAAGTCAAAATTAGCTTTTCATGAGCAGAGGGGATATCATTCTTTGCTCTATAGCTCCTCAATGCAAGAGGTACATAATAAATTCTTGTTTATTTGATCGAATGAAATGTAACTGTGATAAATATAATTCATGATTTATTCATGTATCTTTTTTTGGCTGCACCAGGTCTTAGTTACAGTACATGAGATCTTTGATCTTTATGGTGGCATGTGAACTCTTAGTTGCCACATGTTGGATCTAGTTTCCGGATCAGGGATCAAACCCAGGCCCCCTCAATGTGTTTATGCTCTAAATAGCAAAAATGAGATAACAGATGATAGAGGGATTGGTTTGTTAGTTCTGATACAATAAGTCCTCTGCTGAGGGAGAAAAAGGGGAGAGTCATCACAGTTGCTAGTATTTAATCAAGGTGGTCACAGCTCCCTTAACTCATGAGCTGGTTATACTGGTTTTTGTTTTTTTGAAATACAACAGCTAAGGTCAGAGGAAAGAATGCTTGCTCCCCCCACCCAAGACTGTACATGTACAGCTCAGTCGAGGGATTCGCCCTCTCCACCAGCCGTTTATACTTTCTTAGGCTCAGCTTAACTCCTTATCAACTCTGTGAAACCTTTTCTAAACTATTCTCATTTAACATAGATGTGATTGCTTCCTTATGTGCACCCCTCCGGACTTCTTGCATAGCACCCATGGTACTTGATTGTATTAATTTTCTAGTTCACTCTTAGCTTCAACTCCTCCTCCTCCTCCATCTGAAATCTTTAAGATTCTTATCTTTATATCCCAAGCATCTAGCACTGTGGTAATGAAGAATCATAACCTTGTGAAATTTGTGATTATAAGTACTAGTCTTTTATAAAAAGGAATACTTTGCTCTTCGGAGCAGAGAATGATGAATAAAAGTAGGTAGAAAGCATACAGTAGAATCATTTTCATATGTTGTCTTTAATAGCACAAATAAAGCTTTAAAAGAAAAAGTTAACATAGAAGCAGCAGAGTGTAGTTGCAGTGTGAGAATTACGTTTTTCCCTTGGCTGTGATCTCCGCTTGAGCTTTAGGTTAAAAGTTAAGTAAAAATGTTTGTGTCTTTCAGAAACCGGAGCCTCATTCTCTTAGTAACGATACATTAATGAGGAGGGCTGTGTCTTTGGTAACAGATAGCACCTCTACCTTTCTCTCTCAGACTACATATGCGTTGATTGAAGCAATCACTGAATATACTAAGGTAAGTGTCTCCTCGTTAAATCTTGATCATCTAAATCCATCATTAGCAAACTATGGCTCACAGATCAAATCCAGTCTTGCCTGTGTTTGTAGTTTGATTGGAACATGGCCAGGTTCATTTGTGTATTGTCTATGACTGCTTTCATGAGTTGAATAGTTGCAAACAGACCACTCTCTGGCCCTTGACCAAAAAAAGTTGCTTTGCAAATCAAGTTTACCTGTACCATTTTTCTAGATTGCACATATAAGCAATATTAGGTGATTTTTTTCTCCTTCTGACTTACTTCCTTCTGTACGACACCCTCTAGATCCATCTATATCCCTACAAATGGTACTATTTCATTCTTTTTTATGACTGAATAATATTCTATTGTATATATGTACCGCATCTTTTTAATCTATTTCTCTGTTGATTGCTTCCATGTCCTGGCTGTTGTAAATAGCGCTGCAGTGAACACTGAGGTATATGCCACCTTTTAAATTATGGCTTTCTCTGGATATATGCCT